AAAGTTGATAATCCTGTTGCGAAAGATTTGGCAATTCATTTATCAGAGCTACATGCAACGATGAAGGCGCAGTTAAAAAAGGCTCAAGAACAACAAAAGGCCAATGCGGATGTCTATCGAAAGAAACAACCATCATTCATCTTGGGTGATAAGGTATGGCTACTTCGTCGCAATATCAAGACCACTCGTCCTTGTGACAAGTTGGACTATCGAAGGCTGGGACCATTTTCTATTTCTGCACAAATCAATCCAATTGCATATCGTTTACATCTACCGGAGTCAATGAAAATCCATTCAGTATTCCACGTATCTCTTTTTGAACCATACAAGACAATGGACATACCAAGAAGACGACAAGCTCCACCTCATCCTATAGAAGTGGACAATAATGAAGAGTTTGAAGTAGGAGAAGTCTTAGATTGAAGGCGGCGCCGAAATAAATTAGAATATCTTATCCATTGGCACGGATATGGTATTAGTGAACGTACATGGGAGCCAACAAAGAATCTTGCAAATGCAGCAAAGGCGGTGGAGGCTTTTCATCCACGACATCCATCCAAATCAAGATGAAAACCTTCTTTATAAAAGAAATAACATCTAGGCAAGATAACAATCTACTTTCAATTCTTGTTCGTAGCTTCATTGTAGTAGTGGCGCTCAAGAGATGGAGAACCAACAACCAACGAATTCAACTGAAGAGCCTTCATTTGCTGACCTGCCGGACGAGACATTACGATTGTCACAACCTTCAAGACAACGCAATCGAGATGAAGATCTTCAAGAATGACATGTTCTTCCTCGAATAGATGGTGAGATACAACGCGTTTGGTATCACGATTTGGGAAGGGACTCCCGATGTTTGGTGATTTTGCTAGAGGAAGGAACAACTCCTGATGGTGTTCCAAAAATTCTATTCGAAGGAAGTTACGAAGGCTTCAACAATGATCAAATAACTGGGTGGTCTTCCCACCCTGGTATGGGACACTACCGATGGTTGAGAGGTCCTATCAATCATCTTCGAAGAGAACAAAGATTAGAGTATGTGGCGAATACAATTCGTCGCATCATAGATTTTCTCAACATATGATGACCGTTCCTCGTGGAACTCGTCCCTAGAAGGGGGGGTAATGTCACGGCCATAATCATGTAAGCTAATAATTACATATAGAATAGTAGAAGTAAGTAAGGGATCCTCTAGGTGACCTGCAGCTCAAGCTGCCTGCCGTCCTTCCTTCTATTTACCTGCGCCGCTT